GAAGTCAGATGCTTAACTGACTGAGCCACCCAGGTGCCCCTAGGATTGTATTAATGTTTTATTTTTAATAACATGATAATACTTGTAGCTTGGTAGATTCTATAATGCCTCTCAAGTTTTTCTTCCTCTTGCATTTTTTCTTTTCCACTTTGGCAGCATCTGGCATATATTACACAACATGCCATGTGCAGGTCAACAGATATTTTTGTGGAGTAAAAATAAGAAATAAGAAAGTTTATTGCTTCTTTGTGCTTGTTAGCTTTGGAATGTGTGATATACTTTTATATATTCATTGAAGGGCCATATGTATCAGCCCACCCATTGGTTTACACATTTGTTTTTTCCAAGTGGGCTAATTGAGATGGAAATATTAATTTATATAAACCAACATATGTCTCTGTCACTAGTAAAACAAGATGTCAGTATGGTATACCGTAAACTAGTACCATCCCCTGCCACACACACCTGGCTCTTTCAGTACAGCCTTCAGAAATATGTACCCCTCCTCCTTCCCAAATCCCCTACATTTAAACAGGAAGTAGCGAACTACCTTCCTAGCCCTTTACCCCTCTGTCTTCCAGCCCACTGCTGCTGTATGTACCTCTTAAAATCATGTTTTTATCATGTTGCTCCTTAAAAACCATAGTGACCCCATTGACTTACCAGGTCCTTCATGATGTATCTCCATCCATTTGCTCACAAACAGCTACCCTGTCTTCTAGGCAAGCACAAATGCCAGCCTCATTCTCATCTCAAGCCTTTGATCATTTTTTTTCCTGGGCCTGGAATACCCTCTCTCCTCCATGAAGCCTTCTCTGGCTTACAGTCTCCTCTCCCTGTTCTGAATGCCAATTGTACTTTCATTCTAGCAGTTTAGCACTTAGCTATGGTGCAAATTGCATTATGTGAAAGTTTTCTCCCCAACTATATCATAAATTCCTTGAGAGTATTGAAAAGGTAACTAATGTTTTTTTTGTATCCCCAGTTCCCTACCATCACAGTGCAAGGCATAGATTTATTGAGGACCAGCCATATAAATATGTTGGTTGGCCATTAACTCTTCCTCCCCAACTGGAATCCTCCTTAGTAAGGATTTATTGAACACCTACTCTGGAACAACACTAGAGTTGTTGGGACAACAGAAATGAGAAGGGCTTGGTGTAGTCACAAGACTTAAGTGGTAGAGATTGTGTAATTAACATAGATACCTCAACAAAGGAGGTGTTGAGGGAAAAGCCTATTTGAGCTGGTCCTAGATGGATTGAATGGGATTTAATCAGGCTGAAAAGAGGATGGAGGACTGGATGGGATTCCAGATAGAGTATCTGGCTTAAGCAAAGGCATGGGGGTGTAAAAGTGGCTTATATGGAGTATAATAAATTTGTGGCAGAGGATACGCCTGTCTGGGTAGATGGGATCTAAATTTGATAGGGCTCAGAATGCCTTGCAGAGAAATTTAAACTTGACCCTATAGACACAGGTACCCCAATGTTTATAGCAGCGCTTTCAACAATAGCCAAATTATGGAAAGAGCCTAAATGCCTGTCAACTGATGAATGGATAAACACAATGGACGTGTTTATATACACAATGGAATACCACTTGGCAATGAGAAAGAATG